GAAGAAGATCCTCATCTGCGTGGGCGACCTGTTCCCCGACATCACGTACAGCCCCCTCCTGCCCGCGCTGGCGGCACTGCTGCTGCACTACAGCGAGGACGAGGCGCAGTGCTTCGAGTGCGTCTCTCGCCTCATCGCCAGCAACGCTCCCCACGCCGGCTACATCGACCAGTCCTTCCTGGCCCACCAGGCCTCGTGCATGACCTTCGGGGACCTGGCCAACAAGCACTGCCCGGCAGCCCACAGGCTCATAGCCAGCGCCGCCGAGAACGTCCTCGAGGTCTACTCGGAGTGGCTGTCGTGGCTCTTCCCCGGGCTACCCTTTGGCTACGCCGTGCGGGTGCTGGACGTGTTCCTGCTGGAGGGCCAGAAGGTGCTGTACCGCATCGCCCTGGCCCTGCTGAAGCAGTTCCGGCTCTCGGTGGCCCCGGCCGGGCTGCAGGGCTCTGACATCAAGGCAGAACTGCAGGCGTTCGTGAGGAACATCGCCCAGCATGTGACTGTGGACAAACTCCTGGAGAGAGCCTTTGGCATCCGGCTCTTCTCCCGCAAGGAGATCTGGCTTCTCCAGATGGCCAACAGGAAGGCCTTGATGGAGAGGGGCATCACCGTGGTGCAGAGAAGGTGAGGAGAGCCCTGAGTTCCCCAGCTCTGGGGGCTGAGCAGGCAAAATGGGAATTCCTGTGGAGAACACCCGGGGGGAGCTGCAGGCACCTCCCACAGCCGGGGCTGTGCTGGGCCCTGCCAGGCCCTGGGGACCCTGTCAGGGGACAAGGCACAGCCAGAGCTTGGGACCCTGTCAGGGGACAGGGCACAGCAGAGCTGGGGACTTGTCAGGGGACAGGGTACAGCAGATCTAGGGACCCTGTCAGGGGACAGGGCACAGCAGAGGTGGGGATGATGGCACAGAGCTCACACTGCAAAGACAGGACAGGACCTGCTGCAGGGGCTGTGCCCCGAAGAGCAGAGGGGCCCCACAGCCCGGCCTGACATCCCTCCCCTCGCAGGCCATCCTTCCACCTGGCTGTGGACATGCAGAACTTCAGCTCCAGCATTGTCACGGCGCAGGAGATGCGCCTCGTCTGGTCCTGGATTCCCGAGCGCTTCTCGCTCTTCCCCCCGCTGCTGCTCTTCTCCACCTCCGAGGACGGCTGCAGCCTGCAGAGGTGAAGCCTCACCTGCCCAGCAGGGCGGGCGGGTTGGGCGTGGGGAACTCTGGGCAGGGCTTGGTGGTGGAGAAAGGAGCAACACGAGTGATCCGGGGCACCTCTGGGGCTGCTGGGGACCCTCCTGGCCCGATCCAGGGTCCCGAGTGTGGCTCAGGGGAGAGGGCAGAGGCTGGGCCCGATGGCCACCAACACCTGGGCACTGCCCGGGGCACACAGAGCCCTGTGGATGTACCAGGCAGGGACGTCCCCGTGTGCCACACTGTGCCAGGCACGCTGTGAGCGGCCAGGGACAGCCAGCACACCCTGCCCAGGGCTCCAGCTCCCCCTGAGCCCACCCCTTGTCCATCTCTGCAGGTTCTACACGTGCTGTGAAGGCTACGAACCCACGGTGCTGCTCATCAAAACCACCGAGGGCGAGGTGAGCGTTTCCCAGGCAGGGCTGGGCAGGGGACATGGTGGGTGACCCCACAGGCTCTTCTTGGAGCACCCACGGGTTGTGTGGTCCCTGTCCTGCCCCGCCCCGGGCCTGTCCCAGCTCCCAGGACAGAGCAAATGGCACCTCTGGCCACCAGGACACACCTCAGCCAGGGGTGCTGGGGGAACAGGAGGAATGGGTGAGGGGAAGAGAGACCACGAGTGAGACTTTAATTGCAAATACAGACTGGCTCATGGGTCCTCGCTGAACAGACTCTCCTGAAGTCAGCAGATGATTTGTCTGAGCCAGGACTTGCTTTCAAAGCACTACAGGCCAGGTTCTGTCTCTGATTGCACGAGCAGCCACACAAGGGAAATGGAGGAGAAATAAGGACAGTTCCTCCTGAAAGCTGTGGAATAACTGGAAAGGCCCCTGAGCCAGGGCTCTTCCCAGGGACTCTGAGTGCCTCATAAAGCCCTAATTTATCTCTTCACTCTTCATCCCACAGTGGGGGCGAGTTCTGTGAATTGTTCAGGCCTCCCAAAGATTTACTGACCAACAGTGCTGATGCCCCCAGGCTGACACTTCAGGGTGGGGTGGAGATAAACACCTGCCACCCCCAGGGCCTCGTGCAGGTGACCTAGAAAACCTTGTTTCCTACAGGTTTTAGCTCCTGTTATCCCTTGGCTGTGCCAAGGACAGGCAGGAGGAGTTCCCAGCCCTCAGCAGGGCCCCGCAGCCATGGTCAGGTCAGGAGTGTCCACAGCAGGGTCAGCCTTGGCCACCGAGGCTGGGTGGGTTCAGTGCAGAGCACCGGGGATGGGCAGT